GCTTGTTGAAGAGGTCAAGCATTGACCTGCAGAGTGGAAAGAGCTCCGGGACCATTAAGATTAAAGCTTGAGGTCTTTGGGATCGTGCTGACTGGCAATGTTTCACTGGTCCTGACTTTCAACCACCACTTCCCAGGACCTTTCTTCCACGGCAAAACAAGGATACAGTAGCTGCTCAGTACAGGCACCTTAAACCAGATTGACTGACATCATTCGTGGACGCATCGGAAAGATGTGTCACTTGCCAGTTCCTTTTTCGGAAGATGTGGCCACACGACTTTTTGACTTCGGGCAGTGCCACGTGCAGCTCTTCGGCGGACTCTTGCCCATGGCCACGGTGCTGCTACGGGGACTGGAGAGCAAGCCCAAACTGAATGGGCGACAGGTGAATCTGGTGACTTGGATGATTTGGGCCATGGGGGGGGGGGCTCATAGGGGCAGAAAGGAACAGACCAAAATAGCCTAGAGTGGCTAGAGGATAGATGACAACCGGAGCGACAAAGGGTAGTGCGCGCTGTGTGTTCCAAAGCTTGTGTGCTTCATCAACCATGCCTTTCACTCACCGCACTTTTCACTCACCCACCCACTCCCTCCACTCACCCACTCCCTCCCTCCCTCCCTCCCGCCCTGACCCACTCACTCACTCAGTCACCCACTCACTCACTCACTGCGCCTTTCAACCCTGGTTCTCTTAGGTGTGCTTCCATGAAGAGCGGGGTCGATGGGAGGTGGAGCTGGAGGGTGCCATGCCGATGGTCGACCTCTTCAAGGTGGCCACTGGGTCGAAGCGCTGGGTCGAAGCGCCAGGCCATGCGAAAGCACAGGCCACTGGTGGGGCAAATAGATAAACCATGATAAATGCAGTAAAAACCTCAGTGAAACCCTAGTAATAGTAAAACCCTAGTAACCTAGTAGTTGTTGATGGTTACGATTGAAAGGAAGGGTGTGCAAAGCGGGGTCGATTCTTAATAGGCCATTTTGGAGATAAATGTGGCTTTGCATGGCCATGCCCGAAGGAGACTTGTTCAACTCCGTTCAACTCAGGAGACTTGTTCCAGAATCCATTTACTGTACCTCTTCGGAAATCTCAGGAGTCGTGCATCCTCGGACCAACCGTCCATCGACTCTGAAGAAAGTGCACAGGCACTGCCCTCCGGAGAAGAGAGGTGCACAAGTGCAGTGCCCTGAAAGGTCTCGAAAACTCTTCCAAACGATGGGTCAAAGCCTCCTTGGGCTCAGCCCAGCCACTATCACGTATCGAACACAAGCGTGTCACCAATACTCCCCGAATCGGACATCTTCGGACCACATGGAACCCTGAAGCCAAGTCCGGTTGTAGAGGAAAATGGAGGACATCCGGAGGCCCAGACCGGTCACCACGTCCCGAGGAATGGAACGACGACTGGTGGGAGCCGGTAGATAACGATGACAAGTATCCCAGCCTGAAGAAGGAGAAAGGAGCTCATGTGTGGATGAGCTTGAGACCAAGTCATCAACATTTAATGCAAGACTAGACTGACTGACTATACAACATATGTAAGACAGACTATAGTCTACATAAGACTGACGGTTGATTAAGACTATATACTTCAGACTACATCAGCAAGACCACATAAGACTGACGGTTGATTCAGAACCCCACATCATATGGAAATGCGAGACGTTCTGAAACTTTCCCACATAGAGGCGGGGTGATTGATCAAGAGTCAACAGTAGGTGTTGGCTTGTCGCAAAAAAAAACACTTCCACCGCTCACAATGCCTTGTCAAAGCTTCAACGCACCAAAATAGCCATGTCAAGATTTCCGTGTTTGGATATCAACCCTGTGACCCTTTGTTCTGGAGTGGCATGTTTGCAAGCATCCAGCATTCCCACTTTGAAGTGGGTGACAAGGACCTAAGGATGTTTAAGCAACACATAAACTGCCCTCGGTGCTGATGTTCTTAAACCCTCAGTGCCTGACTTCTCTTTTTTTGCAACACTAATCTTTAAGAAGCAAAGAGAACTCAGCTCGCCTCGGCTTGCCTCGGCTTGCCTCCACGTCATCTTGTGAGAACATAATGGCAGATCAGTTAGAGGCCGGTCCGACTCGGACAGGACCGACCTTCAAAGAGGTCGTCCTCCAGAAACAGGAGAAGCTGAAGCTCACCGACCCCAAGATCCTCACAGTGGCTCGGCAGTCGTGCGCGAGTGTGGCTGGGAGGTGAGACAGATGAGGTGAGACAGACAGATGCTGTTTTTGGAGTTGCTGCGCTCACAGTCAGATGTTTGCAACATGAAAGCATGTCAGGATGTGCAAAAGCTATGTAGGATGTGCCAACCACTTATGGACTGTGGAGGGATCTCAGACCTTGGCCTTTCGGATCCTTTCGGTGAACTTCTCCATCTTCTGTTCTCCATCCCCAGATCCTTCTGTTTCGGCGTGGCCCGGCTCAGCCGGCTTCACCGAAGCTCCCCTTGGCCCAGGTCGTGGACTGCAACGGGCGCCCCGTGAGCGTCTACGACGGCGAGGGGCAGATGTTGGAGGTGCTCAGCGGGCAGCACATCCCTCGGAAGGTGGAGACGGAAAGCGCTCCTTGGAGAAACAGGGGAAAGAAGACCCTCAGTTCGCTAGGATGAAATGACCCTCACAACTCAGGGTGTTGGACCGAACCAACATGTAGCAGTTGGTTCGGGTCCATGAGCCTTTGGGGGGGAGCTGTTATATAGATCGGGCTGATCGTGGTTCATACTTCACTGCAGAAACACCTGCACGCGAGGAGGAGCCACGTCGTCCAGCAAGCGAGAGCCATGCTGGATGGGAATGGGACGAAAGGGATCATTGTTAGTATCCACCGACGAACTGCTGGCCTGAGGGCCATCATGTGCCGATGTGCTCCAGCCCCAAAATCTAGTCTACCATCATCACAGTGGTCTTTTCTGGAAGCAAGATTGAAGAGGTACTGTTTAGTTTTGTTGCTTGGGAGCTTATACGGGAACTCATATTTTTCTAGGATTTTTTTTTGGAATTTTTTTCACGTTTAGGCATTAGGTATCTCTGGTGCTTCTGGTAGCTTTTGCTAGCTTCTGTTGGCTTTTGCTGGCTTCTGGTGGCTTTTACTGGCTTTTGGTGGCTTT